GTCACAACAGTGAGAGACTTGTAGTGAGTGTGGGCCTGAGTGTTGAAGTGTGACGGCAGAACTCGTATTAACCCTTTAAGCGCCAAAGTCGCAATATTGCGACAAGCAACATTGCTCACTTAAACAGGCTGTATGTAAAAATGTGGTGCAGAATCTTGTTAATACTTTTCACCAGGGGTTAGTGTGTAATATGAGCAACATTTGTGTGTGTGGTTATATTGAAAGTTTTTGAGTAAATTGAGTTCGTAAAACACCTGCGCGCAGCAGCGTGGAGGCGAAGCAGCAGCGGTAGAGCTGAGAGGAGCGAGAGCAGAGCAGAGGGAGAGTGTGTTTTTTATTTTACTCACGAGGTCTTCAGTACCAGAGAAGTACTTGGTCTGGTACTGGCTCACTCAGATTCAGAGGAGGAAGACACGCAGGTGTCCAGTGAAGCAGACACGGACATTATTGGTGACGAGGAGACCGCGCCATATAGTCCACAATCAGCCCCTGTGCAGCGGCTGCTTGTTCTCCGTGTGGCCGCGGTAGAAGCATTCTGTGAATGCCAAGCAGGGGCCGGGGTCGAGGGGACAGGGGCATCATTACACCGGGCATGTGGGAGAAAGTAGCGGGGGTAGACATCCACGGGGAACATGGGAGACGCAGGAGAAGTTGCGGGGGAGCCGCGGGAAAAAAACACATCGCTAATCGCGTTCACTGCCTTTACCAACAGCGATGATGAGGATGAAGGCAGTTCTTGAGAGAAAATAATCCACAAAAGTGAAGAGCCTGTTGTTTCTTGTTGAGACGATCTGACATGTTCTGTGCCCATTCATTTCATCTCTCTGTTTCTAAACGATAAATCATGGAGGCTCATTTCCACTGAGAAAAATAGTATGCCCACCACTTCTTTGAAAGGGAAATATTCAAACCAATCTCCAGATTTCATGACTGTAAACTATAAAGAGTGCTGTCTTGATCACTGTAGGTCTTTGAAAATATTACAATTCCATAGGCCACGAACCAGTGCTAAAACATTATCTATAATCTGGATTAGGGAATTTATTTCTATCCCAAATTAATTTCATACTAAAGATATTTAACATTGACCGATTATAGTATTCCCTGATCTCAAATAACTCCCAAGCTACAGCTTTTTGAAATCTTTATACAATAATTAACATTTTCCAAAATGGCCGCCACCTTGATGACGTCACAATATGCAAATTAGATGACGAATCAACTTCCATCCCAAAGTTTGGTTCAAACTGAAGATATTTCTAATTTACAGTATGCCTTTATCTCAAACCATTTTAAAGTTACAGCCTTTTCGTCCGTCCGTTTTCCTCCGCTTCATCCGTTGCCGGGTCGCGGGGGCAGCAGTCTAAGCAGAGACGCCCAGACTTCCCTATCCACACACACTTCCTCCAGCTCGTCCGGGGGGACCCCAAGGCGTTCCCAGGCCAGCTGAGAGACATAGTCCCTCCAGCGTGTCCTAGGTCTTCCCCGGGGCCTCCTCCCAGTGGGACGTGCCCGGAACACCTCCCCAGGGAGGCGTCCAGGAGGCATCCGGAACAGATGCCCGAGCCACCTCAACTGGTTCCTCTCGACGTGGAGTAGCAGCGGCTCTACTCCGAGCTCCTCCCATGCTCCTCACCCTATCTATAAGGGAGCGCCCAGCCACTCTGCGGAGGAAACTCATTTCGACCGCTTGTATCCGCGATCTCGTTCTTTCTGTCACTACCCAAAGCTCATGACCATAGGTGAGGGAGGGAACAAAGATTGACCGGTAAATCGAGAGCTTTGCCTTTCGGCTCAGATCCCTCTTCACCACGACGGTCCGATACAGCGACCGCATCACTGCGCACGCTGCACCGATCCGCCTGTCAATCTCACGCTCCATTCTTCCCTCACTTGTGAACAAGACCCCGAGATACTTGAACTCCTCCACTTGAGGAAGGACCTCTCCACCCACCTGTAGAGGGCAAGGCACCTTTTTCCGGTCGAGCACCATGGCCTCAGATTTGGAGGTGCTGATTCTCATCCCAGCCGCTTCACACTCGGCTGCAAACCGTCCCAGTGCATGTTGTAGGTCCTGGTTTGTTGGAGCCAATAGGACAACATCGTCCGCAAACAGCAGAGATGAAATCCTGTGGTCCCCAAACCGGACCCCCTCCGGCCCCTGGCTGCGCCTAGAAATTCTGTCCATGAATACAGTGAACAGAACCGGTGACAAAGGGCAGCCCTGGCGGAGGCCAACATGCACCGGGAACAGGTCTGACTTACTGCCGGCAATGCGAACACAGCTCTGGCTCTGGTCATATAGGGACCGAACGGCCTTCAGCAGAGGACCCCGGACCCCGTACTCCCGGAGAACCCCCTAAAGAACACCCCGGGGAACACGGTCGAACGCCTTCTCCAAATCCACAGAGCACATGTGGACAGGTTGGGCGAACTCCCATGAACCCTCGAGTATTCGATGGAGAGTATAGAGCTGGTCCAGTGTTCCGCGGCCGGGACGAAAACCACACTGCTCCTCCTGAATCCGAGATTCGACCATCGGCCGTAGCCTCCTCTCCAGTACCTTGGAGTAAACCTTGCCAGGGAGGCTGAGGAGTGTGATCCCACGATAATTGGAACACACCCTCCGGTCCCCCTTCTTGTAGAGAGGGACCACCACCCCGGTCTGCCACTCCATTGGCACCGCCCCTGATCGCCACGCGATGTTGCAGAGACGTGTCAGCCAAGACAGTCCCACAACATCCAGAGACTTTAGATAGTCAGGGCGGCTCTCATCCACTCCCGGCGCCTTGCCACCATGGAGGCTGCCAACCACCTTGGTGACCTCTGCCAGGGAGATGGAAGTATCCGCCCCAACATCCTCAGCCTCTGCCTCCGGGGCGGAGGACGTGACGGGGGGGTTGAGGAGAACCTCGAAGTATTCCTTCCACCGCCCGACAATATCCCCAGTCGAGGTCAGCAGCTCCCCACCCCCACCATAAACGGTGTTGCCAAAGCACTGCTTCCCCCTCCTGAGGCGCCGGACGGTTTGCCAGAATCTCTTCGAGGCCGACCAATAGTCATGCTCCATGGACTCTCCGAACTCCTCCAAGACCCGGGTTTTTGCCTCTGCAACAGCCCGGGCCGCAGCACGCTTGGCCTGCCGGTACTGGACAGCTGCCTCAGGAGTCCCCCGAACCATCATGGCTCGATAGGACTCCTTCAGCCTGACGACATCCCTTACTGCCGGTGTCCACCACCGGGTTCGGGGGTTGCCGCCGGGACCAGCACCAGAGACCTTGCAACCACAGCTACGAGCCGCCACATCGGCGATAGAGGAAGAGAACATGGTCCACTCAGACTCAATATCCCCCTCCTCCCCCGGGACCTGGGAGAAGCTGTCCCGGAGGTGAAAGTTGAAAATCCGTCTGACAGGGGGCTCAGCGAGACATTCCCAGCAGACCTTCACTATACGCTTGGGTCTGCCAGGTCTGACCGGCTTCTCCCCCTGCCAGCGGATCCAACTCACGACCAGGTGATGATCGGTTGACAGCTCCGCCCCTCTCTTTACCCGAGTGTCCGAGACACGCGGTCGAAGGTCAGATGATACGACAACAAAGTCGATCATCGACCTCCGGCCTAGGGTGTCCTGGTGCCACGTGCACTGGTGGACACCCTTGTGCTCGAACATGGTGTTCGTGATTGACAAACCGTGACTGACACAGAAGTCCAACAACTGAACACCGCTCGGGTTCAGATCAGCGGGGCCGTTCTTCCCGATCACCCCTCTCCAAGTGTCACTGGCATTTCCCACATGGGCGTTGAAGTCCCCCAGGAGAATAACGGAGTCCCCGGTTGGTGCACCGTCCAGTACCCCTCCCAAGGACTCAAAGAAGGCCGGGTACTCTGCACTGCTGTTAGGCCCGTAGGCCGTCACAACAGTGAGAGACTTGTCCCCCACCCGAAGGCGGAGGGACGCGACCCTATCATTCACCGGGGAGAACTCCAACACGTGGCGGCTGAGATGGGGGGCAATTAGTATGGCCACCCCAGCTCGCCGCCTCTCCCCGCGAGAAACACCAGAAAAGTGGAGCGTCCAACCCCTCTCAAGGAGTTGGGTTCCAGAGCCCAAGCTGTGTGTGGAGGTGAGGCCGACTATCTCTAGTCGGTATCGCTCGACCTACCCCACGAGCTCGGGCTCCTTCCCCCCCAGTGAGGTGACATTCCACGTCCCAAGAGCCAGATGTTGTGTGCGTGGACTGGGTCGCCGAGGTCTCCGCCTTCGACTGCTGCCCAGTCCTCTTAGCACCGCGCCACCACGGATCCCTCTGCAGGTGGTGGGCCCACAGGAGGGACTGCCCACGTCGTCCCTTCGGGCTGAGCCCGGCCGGGCCCCGTGGGCTAAGGCCCGGCCACCAGGCGCTCGCATACGAGCCCCGACCCCAGGCCTGGCTCCAGGGTGGGGCCCTGGCTGCGCCATGCCGGGCGACGTCACTGGTCTCATTTTAGTGCTGTCCATGGTGGTTTTTGGACCGCTCTTCGTCTGACTCGTCACCTGAGACCTGTCTGCCATGGGAGACCCTACCAGGGGCATGAAGCCCCAGACAGCATAGCTCCCAGGATCACCCGAGTACTCAAACTCCCCCACCACGTTAAGGTGGCAGTCCAGGGGGGAGCCCTGGACTGCCAAGATTTCAAAAGTTATAGCCTTTTGAAATCTTGAAATCAAAATTGTATATTTTCTTGAAAAAACTCTGGCGCCTAAAGGGTTAAAATGTGTAAATCAGAAGATTTGTTTTACACGAGAGCAAGACACAGTCATGTCCCTTGAGTGTGTCTCCCCCCTTCACCTATGAGCTTAAAACATGGTGGCTCCGGCAACAGTACACAAAATGACTAAGGAACCAGTATGAAAACATAAAGAGTAAGGCATTAAAAAGGAACAAAGTAACCCACATTGTCAAAAAATCAGTGAGCAGAAAATCAGTGACCAGTCAAAGTTGTTTAAATAAGACACTCACAGGTTTCTTGAGGAAGAAGACTGACAGGGCTCCGATCAGAGGCATGTCACCCAACAGTGGCTCCATCACCACACGCATCACTCCATGCAGCTGCACACATGCACACAACGTTTAGGACAGTCAGCATGTCTACAAGGTCAGAATAAATTTAAACAGAATACAGCAGGGGTCTCAACCATGTCTCAGACCTACTACAAAATATTTCATACACATGTTTCCCTGATTTTTGTCGGTTTATCTTTCTCTACTGTTATTATCAACAAATGAAATTAAGGGAGGAAGTGTGTGTGCAAAGTAAAAGAGTGTGTGCAGTGTTAGTGCATGTGTCCAAAGTATATATTTTGCACTCACTCCCTTTATGTGGACCGGTTTCACCCAGACAACATGGGGCCACCTGATAAATTGAGTTTGAGATCAATAGTTTACAGCAAGGGTCCCCAAACTTTTTCCTATGAGGGCCACATAACTTTTCCCTTCTTCGATGGGGGCCGGGTCAGTTTGTAACAGAAAAAGTGTGATGATTACAAGAGAGCCAAAACGTAAAAAAAATATTGTTTTCCAGAAAGCACAATCAAATAACCCTCTCTGGGTTCTTCACAGAACAAAAGTCAGGAAATAATTAACAACACTATTTATGAAATAAATAATAACCAAAAACTAAAATTACTATCATAGATTAGAAAAAAGATTTCCAACACAGACACATTGAAGAGATTTTGGATAAAATCAAAAGGAAAGATTGACAAATATATTTTTGGCGACATTTTAAAGGACAAAAATAGCCTCTGATTTGACCATTCTACTGTGACGCCAGTTACATAGAAAATAAAATGTCCTCAGTCTGAAAAAGTGGCATATGAAATCCCACAAGATTGACATTAACACAACATAAGGAAATCACTTGATATAAAAAGGAATCGTTAAAAAAATGAAAAAATAAAATGACCCTTAAAAAAGGTGTAACGGACGCGATGGTTTCCGTCCATTTTTAACAATTAAACTTGAGAAAAAAAAATCTGGTTTGGTTTCACATTTAATTGATTTACTAAATGAAATTATCACTTTTTTTCTACTCTATGTAAAAAAAATAGAATCTCTTAACCAAATGTGGACATCTAAAAATACGCAACAAACTTCCACAAAGCTCATTCCGTCAAATCATCACGTCCGTTACAAAAAATAAACAGAGCCGCTATAGGAAACTTGTCTAATGTATAAAACAGTTATGTAAGGGATAATGTATAGCATACAGGTCATTATCGGAAAATAAGTACCGACAGGGCGAAGCGGACCCCGACGCGCAGCGGAGGGGTCTGCTTCCGCCCTGAAGGCTGAAGCAGTATAATAAGCCTGAAGGCTTATTATACTGCTTTGTACCAACTTAACACACAAAATAAACTTCAGATCACTTTTATGAATGCCAAAAGTTTATTTAATGACAACAAATAAAGTAGTCCCAAAAAGTTTTCCCGTTGCTCGGCAACCGCGGGCAGGCAGTGTGGCTTTGACAATTGTGGCTATGCTAGCAACAGTTAGGCTGGCAACTTCTAAACTAGAACTCTCTGGAACTGCATGAAAACTGAACAAAGAATTCTGAACATCAGCGGTGAGTGACCCATACATAAACCTAACCTAAATCCATAATTCGATCCTCTGCAAATGTGTCCGAAAATGTGCCGGTATCTTAAAATGTGCCGGTATCTACTTCCGGGTTTTTCGGGATCGCCTTTTCTCGCATTACATCAGTGTTTTTGTCATGAAAACGTAAACGGAAAATTCTGAAAACTTCCGCGCACTTGTATTAAGACTGGATATGTATAATTCACTCTCCGATTAACATTTCATTGCGTTGATTGATTGGCATTTGCGTTTATTGAGCGGCCAGAACTACTTCCGGGTTTTTCACGATCGCTTTTTGACGCAGAGAAATAGTATTTTTGTCATGAAGACAAGACCAGAAAATTCTGAAAATTTCCGTGCACGTGTGTGAAGAATGTATAAGTATAAGTATTCTCCGATTAACATTTAAGTGTGTTGATTGAGCGTGGCTAGCTCAGGAGTGGCCGGAACTACTTGCGGAGTTATCCACGCATTTGAAAGACAAGCAGAGAGTGCGTTGCCATGGGCAGCGGTCATTATTGTTTTGAGAGGTCCGTTATAGAAAATAATGACCGGTAGAACGTTTTGAAATTACATTCAAATCAATGGAGCGTTCTACTGCTGCTCTGAGGAGCCGTATAATAAGTTCTAACAACTTCTAATGGACAGAGGAGGGATTTGGAAACATGAAAAACATAAAATATCTTCTGATTATTAAAATCAAATTTTGGGCCTTTTGTCACACTTTTGTGCCCTTTAGTTTGAACAAGCCCATATATGAAAATACTCTCTGGTATTGGTCAGGGGGCCGGAGCAAATGTAGAGGCGGGCCGTAGTTTGGGGACCACTGGTTTACAGGGTCATAAAATCTCCAGTTTTATCAATTTACAGAATTATCAAGCATTCCCTCATATATTGATTGATATTGAAAATCTGATAAACAACCAGGGGATTGTTGCATATTTCAGAAATGCAGCACATATCGATACACATTTTCTGTCATCCAGTAATAACATCTATGAAAATATGAAGTTTTATATTTAACCATGAAATGTCTCCATAAAATGTTTTATACTAATGATTAATCATCAAGTGTTTTTATAAAGTGTTTTTACATGAATCAATAGCAGGGCTGGACTGGCCATCGGGCATACCGGGCAATGCCCAAAGGGCCGATGCCCATATTTGGGCCGGTCTGTCTGCTTCATACAAAAAACATGTTTGTGAAAAATGTTTGAGGGGGGGCGCGCATGTCCGCGGCCAACTGCTGTATGTACTCGAACGGGATTCCGCCACCTCAGCGGCCGCAGTGTTCCGAGACAGCTGCGGCCGCTTTGTAATGAGCGGTTCAAGCATCCAGCGGCTCTGAGCTGGACGCGGGAACCACGAGATCCGCTCACAACACAACACGGTGAGCGCGTAGCCTCAACGTGACCATATACCCAAGACCATAAACGCGCACAGGACCATGCATTTCTTTGTGTAATCTGTGCACCCAATAAATACACCGCTGCAGGAAACAGTCCGCGTCTCCCCTCTCCTCTCGAAGAGCGACTAAATTAAAGCTCAGGTACCTAAATTTTTCATTGCATTAAAAGTTAATATTTGAGCCCATGTAGTAAAATGTTGTGAACAAATCAAACAGATTTAGTGACAGACAATGGCTGGCATTATGCATTTCAGACTTTTTTGACCAATTCTCATCCCTGTAACAAACAATAGTGTTGTCTGTGTCCACCTCCCTCACTCTGAGACATGTTTATTACTCTCTTGTAATGTAGACTATTGCACTGTATTTCAATTGTTGAAACTGCACATATCCTGATCCTCTAGTATTTTCTTCCATGCTGTATAAACCAGGGGTCGGCAACCTGCGGCTGGAGTCTTTTAAAAAATGTCTGAAATGGAGTGGGAGGGCTATATTTTATTTCTAGTTTGAATGTGGTTTCTGTAGGATGAAAAACATTCTTAACGTTTTTAAATGCTCCAAAAATGTGCGTAAGTAATATTCAATTTCGACATTTCTGTCAACGTAGTGCGTCATATCCTGTGAAGCGGCCCGCGTTAGGCGGCTGCTGCTGTAAACAAACCGGCATGTGCCATGGATCCCAAAGCTAAAAAGAGAAAGAGTCGATAATAAGTCTGTACTAAGAATAAGTATGAACATGAGGAAGGACTGCTTCATGTTTGTATTGAGAAGTTTTGTTACAACACGAGGAACAATGATGCGCTAAACACCGTTCACGGTGATCACGTGAAGGATTCATTCATCGCAAATTCAGAGCACCTATTTTCAAACTTCAAATACCTTCGCAAAAACGGTGAAAGAAAAGGCCATTAAGGACATTCAGCTCCAGCAAACTTCAGCCTGTGCTGTGAACTCTGAGCCAAAAAGCAGATTTATTTACTGTATTTCTACAATTGCATGAAGACAAAAAATGGAAGTTAAAGTTAAACCAGAGTCGTCACGTGGTGCGTCATTCTCTCCAGGAGACGCTGCAGTGAAAACACACATTTGATAATCATGAATGCTTATTATGCATTTGTAGCCTTTACTTTGTCATTTAGATATTAAGCTAATGTAGCTAATACAGCTGCAGCCTGTGTTACCTTCATATAAGCCTTATACAAGGCTGTTTTTTTTTGCGGCTCCAGACAGATATTGTTTTTGGCTCTTTGAACCTTTTGAGTTGCAGACGCCTGGTATAAACAAACTGTAAAAAACGTGAAAAAACATGCCTGGGCCGCCAAGAAGGCAAAAATGCCCGGGCCATTTTTTTGTCCCAGTCCAGCCCTGATCAATAGGTGTTTTCATAAAAGGCCATTTGTATTATGTGCTAGCCTGAGTCTGGTGAGTTCAGGGAAGATATAAGGACAATGTTGGTTTCTGTGATTTAGTATATTTTAAGGAACAGAGCATGCCTCTCTCATCAAGACAAGGAATGAGACCTAAAACCAGAACAGACCGGACCCGCGAGACTGATAATGAGCCAGATGACGTATCAGGAGGCACTTCCGCTCACTTTCTACACATTTTCATAAAAGTGTGTGCTAGGACATTTTTAAGAGCAGTCTGAGCAGGGACAGAGAGAGAGGGGACATCGCAGATCACCTGGTTGTCCTCTCAATACATTTTCAGGCCTGGAGGGATAGTCAGCTCATAGGGCTAGTTAGGGAAATAAGAGCTCAGAGAGTTTTGTATTAATGTCTAATTGTAAAAAATATTTATATTATTTTATTTGAACGCTGGAAAATCTGTCTTTTGTTTTCTTTATCAAATTCTGAGACACGTCTGTCTTTTTCTGCCGATAGGATGTTCAATTGTTCAACATACCAGAGACAGACCAGAGAGAGAAACCAGAGACAGGCCAGAGAAAGAAACCAAAGAGACCAGATAGAGACACAAGAGGGAGACTCAAGAGAGAGACCACAAAAGACTCCAAGCTGTCATAAATGTTAAAAGGCAACTCTACTATTGAGAACAAAGGGGT